CGCTGTCCTTGCCAGTCTGCCGGATCCCGTAGATGGCATACCTCCACAGAGGAGAGTTCGTCGTCAGACGAACCAATGCCACCAATCACAAACACACGACCGTCAGGCAGTGAAGCTGCCGCCGCATAAAATCTCCGTTCTTTCATCGGAGGCAGTGGGTACCATCTGCAGCACACAAAAAAAAACAGTGAAACGGCAAATAGAGCGGAACCCCCCTCATGGCAATTCAGTCCGCATACAATATTTGACGCACTTAAGGCTATCAGAGTGCGTAAAATGTCATGTCATGGAAGAGTCCGACGCGTCCGAATCGCATTCATCCTCTTCTGGACACAGAAATGGTTAGATAGAACTACGTCTAAGTGTGGCTCTGTGGCACCTTCCCTTCCATGACCTCTGAGGCAGGCTGTCACTGCGTCCAGTCTCACCTTCAATTTGTTTGGATCAGATGGGTCACTGGCATATTCCAACTGGGAACGATGCGTCAACAATCATAGTTGAAACTGATGCCAACCTAGAGCACAATTCGGCCCTATCCACAAACGAAGATCAGTTTGCGCAGTTTGTGGTATTTATCGCAGTTTTACTTCTATGGGATCTGAGCTCACACCTTCAGGTCTAGAACTCAGTTTATTAGTGGTAATCAAAGCTGCATTGTCAGTTGAGTATTCTTAACTGCCAAGTTCACCCAGACCACTCCACTTAAACAACTAAGTTTTAGTATATATATTAGTATATATTTCTAAATGGGAAAAAAATTATGAGTACAATGATCAACTACAGTTTGCTTGCATGGTCTTCCAAGGCGGACATGTGAGTAGTACAAAAACACAGTTAAGTCAAATTTGCTGTCCGCTCAACAAACGCACGAGCAATGACTTGCGGCGAACATGACTGCACCCCAAGAATCTAAAAGCAGTAAAACCCACTGCCACTTCGGAGGTATTGCAGGATAGCAATAATGTGTGGAAAATTTAACGCAAATGATACTTTAACGTAGAATGATACAGGATTCCCATGGATAAATTTAATACCTTCATTTAATCTTATAGCGAACCCCATATGAAGAAAGATATATGCAGGGGAGATAATGGACCGATGATCTAAGAGGATACAGCCCTTAAATTTAATCTTGGTTCAGTCTGCCAGCCAGCCCCCCCCCAAAGTGTAGTTTACAATGTAGTTAGGACACCTCACATACTCACCTGTCCTCCTGCGGTGAATAGAGTTCACAGCTGTTTAGGAGGCTATCTCCCATACTGATGATGCGCCCTCCAAAGACGCATATAACACTTTCTTGACCCACTCGAACACTCACTGCTGCATGGTCGTACCGCTTCGTCAGGAGTGGTGCCCGTTCACTCCATCGAAGTTCCTTCGTATCAAATTTCTCAAGGTTTGAAGAACTGCGGCCTCGTGCATGTGTTCCAATTGCAAATACACAATCTAGTTTGGTATAAACGAAACAAAATGGGGAAATATGAGAACAGAAAACAAAACGTACTGATAAAATGCTTTGACCAGAC